CATCTCGATGGCACTTAACAACAACAACAGTATAGATGGCCCCAATGAGTCTGGATTGACTCTGTGGCAGTAGGTTTGGTATTTTGTTTCCTTCCAAAACAATTGCAAGTATTTTCTATAATTTTTTCCTGTTTTACAAAATAATATTATTTAACAGTCAGGTACTGCTCTGAATTATTTTAATTGCAGTCTGAAAAATAAACAATCAAATGCCCTCGATTCTAAGAACAGAAAGAAAATACAGTCCATCTTATGTTTACTTTCCCATTTATTAAGACTCATGAACTTATAGTTTAATGTGTGTGCTCTGTTTTAGGGGATTTTGTTGTATGTGAAAAACTGATTATAGAATGCTCGTTTAGGAAATTACTTAAGAGTTGTATATGTCTTTTGACTAATAAGTAAGTATTACGTACTTACAGAAAAGCATGTTCACAGATCACAGTATGGCTTAGTAAATGTAAGAGTTAAGCATTGTTTCTTAATTGCATTTCAGACACTAATATCTGGAGCTGTGGTTGAACAACTTGACTTTCTACGAATCAGTGACACAGAAGAGTGAGTATCTTTGAGTTATCTAGTTACTATGTTTCTTGAAATAGAATAAGAAGTCAGAAAACCTTCTCTTTTGATTTTCAGACTTCCAGAATTTAAGAGTTTTGAAGAACTAGAACTTCCCAAACATTCAAAAGTCAAAAGACAACGCAGCACTTCCAATGCTCCTGAACTGGAACACCAGTCAGATACCCCCATTACTGAATGGAGAAACAAACCCACGCATGAAATTCTTCAAAAACTGAATGTGAGGAGGGTCTATTCCCATATGGGTCATGTTGCCACTTCACTGGGTAATTAAAAGAACAGAAATTATTTCCTCACAGTTCTGAAGACAACCTAAGTTCAAATTCAAGGTCTTAGCATGACCATGTTCTCTCTGAAGGATCTAAGAGGAGAATCCTTCTGGTCTCTTCCTAACGTCAGGTGGTTTGCCAACAATCCTTGGCATCACTGTAATCTTTGCCTCCATCTTTACCTTGCCCTCTCCTCTGTGTGTCTCTGTTTCTCTTCTCCTGTTCTTATACAGGCGTTAGTCATATTAAATTTGTTGTTTTTGCTATTAAGTACTGTCGATTTGTTTCTGATTCATAGTGACCCTGTATAAGGTTTCTGAGGAGCGGCTGATGGGTTTGAACCGCCAGCCTTGCAACTCAAACTGACCTTGTGGTTCAGTGCTTATCCTACAGCACTACACCAGAACTCCCATACTATATTGTTGTTGTGGTTGTTAAGCGCCGTCAAGTCAGTTCCGGCTCATAGCAACCCTGTATAGGGTTCCCAAGGAGTGGCTGGGTGAGCTTGAACTCCAGCCTTGCAATTCAGACTGACCTTGCAATCCAGCACATTAACCCGCAGCACCACAACAGGACTCCATATTGGATTAGGGCTTACCTAATATGGTATGGTGTGGCAAGGAGCTCTGGTAGCATAGTGGTTAATGAATCGGGCTGTGAACCGCAAGGTCAGCAGTTCGAAACTGCCAGCTGATCCATGGGAGAAAGATGGGGCTTTCTGCTCCCGTAAAGATTTACAGCCTCAGAAACCCTGTTCAGGGTCGCTATGGGTCGGAACCGACTCGATGGCACTTAACAACAACAACGATGTGGTGTGGCACTGTGTGATAATGCACAGGACTGCAAGGTCAGTTTGAACTGCATGGTTGATGTTTCAAATTCACCAGCCACTCCTTAGAAACCCTATGCCGGTTCGCTATGTGTCAGAATAGACTCGATGGCACATAACAACAACAGCAATGTAGTATAGAGAGTTCAGGTATTGTAGTGTAGGATAAGCACTGGACCAAAAGGTCAGTTTGAACCACAAACCTACCAGCCACTCCTCGGAAACCTTATACAGGGTTACTGTAAGTCAGAACCTACTCAACAGCACTTACCAATAACAATATAGTATAGGAAGGAACTACAGCATAGTGGATTATGAGTTGGGCTGCTAACTGCAAGGTCAGCAGTTTGAATTTACCAGTTGCTATGAGGGAGAAAGATGAGACTTTCTATTCCCGTAAAGATTTACAGCTTCAGAAACCCCATACAGGGTCAGAACCAATTCGATGGCACACAACCACCACCACCACCATAAAGGAGACCAGTTAATACCACTATTGTTCAAATTTATGCACCAACCACTAAAGCCAGTGATGATGAAATTGACGAAGTCTACCAACCTACAAGGTTGGACTTGTGGTGCGGCACTGTAGGATCAGCATTGGACTGTAAACTATAAGGTTGGCAGTTCAAACCCACCAGCTGCTCCATGTAATCACTATACAGGGTCGATGTGAGTCAGAATCAATTCAGGGGCACTTAACAACAATAATACAGGGTCATTATGAGTCAGAATTGACCCTATGGCACACAACCTTTACCGATATAGTATAGGAATCCTATAGGATAAGCACTGGACTAGTAACCCCCAGGTCAGCAGTTCAAACCCACCGTCTGCACCTTGGAAACTGTATACAGTATCTGAGTTGGAACTGAGTCGACACTTAACAACAGTAACTACCACCACGGGTCAGCAGTTCAAATCCACCAGCCATTCCGCAGGACAAAGATGAGACTTTCTGCTCCCCTAACGATTTACATCCTTGGAAACCCTAATATGGGGTCTCTATGAGTCACTTAGCCAAGTCACTCTGAGTTTGGCAGAATCAAGATGAATGCTTACAGAGAACACATTCTCTGTCTGTTGTTTATCTTGTTTCTTGGGAAATTTGATTATTAAATACTGCTACCCTTTTGTGACACTGTGGGCTAAAGCATTGGACCACAAGATCGGTTTGAACCACCAGGTCAGTGGTTCAAACTCACCAGCCGCTCCTTGGAAACCACATAGAGGGTCGCTATGAATTGGAACTGACTTGATGGCACTTACCAACAACAACTCCAGTAAACCAACTTTTCTGCCCTCTATCTAAAAGACAGCATAATGCCATACTGTGCTTGGTAGTGTATTAGAGACATTTTATCTTTCCTTAATTTTATTTCAGAATATTTTCTCTTTTTATCATGTGGTTTTGTGATTAGTTGCATGACACGCAAATTCGTGAAGTATTCCATATTTTTTGGAGTCCTGGTGTGGCGCTGTGGATTAATGCACTAGACTGCAAAGTTGGTTTGAATTGCAAGTTTGGCAGTTCATGCGTACCTGTAACTCCTAGGAAACCCTATACAGAGTTGCTCAATGCCACTTAATAACAACAACAATGGGCTCCTGGTGTGGCGCACTGTAGGATCAGCACTGGACTTGGAACCACAAGGTCTGTAGTTCAAACCCACCAACTGCTCCTCGGAAACCCAATACAGGGTCGCTGTGAGTCAGAACCGACTAGAGAACACTTAACAATCATGGTAATTCTGGAGTTCTGATGTGGGTGCTTCAGGATAATGTACTGGACAACAAGATTGGTGGTTCAAATTCACCACTGCTCCTCAGAAAGCCTACACAGGGTCGCTATGAGTCTGAACAGACTTGATAGTATTTAACAATGATAACAATGATAATTCATAGAACCATTTCTTTCCCTTTACTCACAGTGCTTTATATTTTCAGGACTGCAATTGTCTGGCCAGCCAAGCCATCCTGCTAGGTATACTACTCAAAAGAGAAGGTCCCAACTTCATCACTAAGGAAGGTAAGAACACGTCTTGGAGAACATTTTAAACAACAGAACCTCTCTGTTTTGGAACATATATCAAATGTGCATAATAAATATGTACCAAATTACTACAGAGTATTTCCTTTTTTCCATTAATCCTATTTTCCCCACTATTAACTAGAAAATGTTTATTCATACCCCCTAGAATGCATGAATTTCTAAACTGCTTTCATGCTGTGATGCTTGATTGTCTCTCTGTCTGAATGGTTTTGGAGCCTGGTTTTTGCCATAACCTTTGATAGCCCCATAACTGTTTCTTGACAGTTTTTTTCCAAGACTGATACTAAATTGTTATGTCTGTAAAATTAGCTCCTTGTAGTCTACAGCTGTGATTCAGAATATTTCATGGAATTTTTATCTAAAGATAGTCATAAAAAGACATAGTTTCTGATCATATCCATGTCCACTCTGCACTAAGGATAAAACTCAGTTATCTCTGAAATCCACCTGTATATGTTGAGTTACTAATAGAAGGAATCCTTGAGTTTTATATCATGATATGCTTCTGGCCTTTTACGATACAGAAAAATAGAGTCTAACTTCAGGGACTTAATGTCTAGCTACTATAAGTTTTTGGATCATGGGAAAATCATCTATACAGAGAAGCATGTTTATTCAGCTAGAATTGGGAAAAGCAGTGTAATTAATAAAAGTGGGGTTTTTTTCTGGTGATGAACTAAATATGTTTGCTTATTCAAATTAGCTCTACTTACTTTTTACATCATTATAGCTAAGAGATAACCTTCTCAAACATTGTACATGTAACTTAAACAGTCTTAAATTTCTTAGCTGGTTAAAGGCAGAAAACTTTAAGCAAATTTCAACAAGAATCCCTCATGGTTCTAATTAGTCTTGAAACTACAATTACAAGGCAAATCCAGTTATATTGAGCATTCATTAGAATAAGAACTTTAGATAAAATAAAAGGGTGTTTTAAAATCAAACATTTCATTGGGAAACTAGAATTCTGAATGGTTATTTTAATAATGCTTTTACTATAAAAAGCATAAAATGAAAATATTGAAGACATTTTAAAAAATAATTTTTATAAATTTAGAAATATTGTTCATATTTTACTAATATAGTTAAAAGACTGATTTTTTAATGTGTAAAACATTGTATACTGAACAGCATAAGTATCTTGAATCTGAATATAGTTTTATTAGTTTGTTTTATTCAAAATGCTATCAAAATAACTTCAGAGTAAAACATAGGTCTTATTCTTGACCCTTATTTCCTTTTTAGTTTCATATGGTTAACTGACAAAACCAGTCATGAAGCCATTTCACATGTAAATTGCAATGAAAGAATGAAGGTCCAATGGTGACGTTTGATCTCTAGTACTTGTCAAAATGATCATGGCCCATGCACATGCCAGGCAGGAGTCTATGTTTTGTTGAGCAAATAAGTAATTGTGAATATTCCGAGTTAATAACATTTTTTCAGTTTGTTAATTATTTTACTTTACTCTCATTTTTTACTTTCTGCAGTAAATTAAAGGTAACAGTTCATTCATTTAAAACTTTGATTGTGTATTAATTAAGAAAACAATTTAATTTCAATAAATAAAGTATTCATCAAAATCAGACTAAGACAAACTAGTAACAAGTGCTGGGGACTTTGACTATTTATATATTTTGAGTATATATTTGAATATATCAGATAGTTCAGAACATTAATAGATATATTAACTCTAGTTAAAGCAAAATGAAAATTCAAGAAAGATCTGTTTTTAAAGGGGGATAAATGTCATACATGTAATTAAATCTTTCTTCAACAAAACTCTATTATCCAATGTTTAGGTACTGTTTCTGATCACATTGAGAGAGTCTATAGAAGAGCTGGCAGCGTAAAGCTTTGGTTAGTATTAGTGTCCTTGTCATGCTTTATTTTTGTGTTGTTATATCCTGAAGATAATGGACCAATATGAAATATTATTATTTTTGAACTCAATGGTTACAGTGCTGTGATTCTACCTTTTTTCCTGCCCCATAAGGATCTAGCTAAGGAGCTCTGGTAGCGTAGTGGTTACGAATTGGGCTGTTAATCTCATGGTCAGCAGTTCGAAACTACCAGTTGTTCCGCGGGAGAAAGATGAGGCGTTCTGCTCCCGTAAAGATTTACACCCTCGGAAACCCTGTACAGGGTCGCTGTGAGTCAGAACTGACTCCACGGCACATAACAATAACAACAACAACAAGGATCTAGCTACATTCCATTGTAGTATGATTCTTACAAGATTATTTTTTTAATGTGGTAATAAAGACCTTCATAGGGATAGAACCTGGAGAGAATTCACTAAAATAATATATCCTTAATGAATGTTTCCTACCCTGTACCTCTGTCTTAGCAACATGCTTTAGATTCTAATTGGTATTCAGGAAGCCTGGACTATCATCATAGTGTCCATGAAAAGAGATAAGTATTCATTTAATCACATAAAAAATAATAGAAAGCAGTTCTCCTCTTTTGTTTTGAATTAATCCCAGTGATTGTAATTGCTTCATGAAAACTAACTGGTTCTGCAGAGATAGTCTCTCCCCAGAGATTTAAAAACAAAACAACAACAACAACAAAACAAAGATAAATTCAAATAAAATTGTTTAAATTCACAATGTGTGGTAGGTATGCCTAAATGCATGGTACTCTGCAATTTGAAGCGAACCTAACAATTTTATTAGCAGGATCTAACAAATTTTGAAAATAAGAGTTACTTCTTTAAATTACTCATTTTCAAATTTGAAAAAAAGTTTCAAGCAATGTCATAAGAAATTCCCTTAACCTCAACGAGCCCCAGGTTTCTGGTCTGTAAAAAAAGAGGATTAGACAAAATTGTCTAATATGTTAAAATAAGATATACCATTCCTGCACAAAGGAAATAAAGTAATGATTCTGTAGTTGCATCTCTCAATTTGTCACTGTAAGAATTCTAAAAATAGTAAGGCATTCCAGCCAATAATGTTTTTTAAGACAGTAAGTTTCAAATGTGGTCTACAGACATATTTTTGGCTAAGCCAAAAATAAGTTCTTGCTTTATGTATTATACTTGGATTTTGAATAACTGATTAACTAGCAAACATTTAGAATGCTGTTATATTTAAAAGAACAAACTCATGGAAGTTTTATTTAATGTACTTTTCCCTTTTATGGCTCTCTACTGATACACCCAGGTTGGCGGTACGCTACGGGGCTGCATTTACCCAGAAATTTTCTTCCTCTATAGCCCCACACATTACTACTTTACTGGTACATGGGAAACAGGTAACATGCACAGAATTTGGAAATTCAAGTTGCTTGAAACGTGTGGTCGTATTTGCATTCTGTGAGAGTTAAATGTGTCTTCTGATCTTATAGTGTGTGGGTGAAAACTGCTCTCAAAAAAGACAGGAAATGTTTGTTTCACTAACTGTATCAGTATTGGCTCATTTGCCTACTACTTCATTCTATATTGAGATTAACGAATATAAATGCTTTTTATAGGTCATCTTCTGTAGATATCCAGAAATGCAAGAAAATTACAGCCAGTTTTATTACTTCTTAGCTTACTTTCTGTCTAAAAGTTCCACATAAACTTTTACTTTTGAGGAAAAAATCTTTTAAATGTCTTGTATATTGCATATGCAGTGCTTAAAAAAATGTGTCTGTCTACATTCTAAAGACTTTTTCAGAAATGTAAAAATAGCAGTTTGAATTCCTTTCCCCAACAATCTGGCTTTATCAAGAAAAAAATTACTAGTATTTAATTGTAGCACTGCCTAAAATTCATTACCAAGTGAGCCCCCTAATCCAGGAATTTGGTTTTCTAGGCACACACACACAAAAAATCATGTATCCTTATCCTTCCTATAGGTGTAGGTAAGGAGCTCTGGTAGCTTAGTGGTTATGAATCGGGCTGCGAACCACTGGGTCAGCAGTTCGAAACTACCAGCCGCTCTGCGGGAGAAAGATGAGGCTTTCTGCTCCCGTAAAGATTTACAGCCTCGGAAACCCTGTACAGGGTTGCTGTGAGTCGGAATCGACTCCACGACACATAACCACTACCACCACCATAGGGGTAGGTGACAAGTATTAGTGATGGACTTAATAATGAACTTGTTAATGCAAAATCAGAATATCTACCTAACTCCTCCTAGCTCCATTTTCTTTCTTTTAATCTTGACAATCACACAAATGATAGTTTTGGCACAGCCGGCTGGCAGAAATGAGTGTGAGGGATTTCTCACTAATTCTAGAGAAAGTTCAGTGTTTCTTCCAATTCTTTGGACTCAGTACTTCCTTCAAATATTATATGAGAACCCACCAACTATATTTTAAGACTTCCTAATCAGGGGCCCTATTCAACATCTTTTAGACTTGTGAATATCTGGCCTGCTCTTTTCTTTGCCCCCAGGTCGGTTGTGCGCCGTGCAGCAAGTCTTTTAAGTAAAGTAGTGGACAGCCTGGCCCCATCCATTACTAATGTTTTAGTGCAGGGCAAACAGGTAAGTATCTGCTTTGCAGACTCTCACTTGATCATAGTTCTAAGGTTTCTGGGCAGGACCTTTACTTTTAAATCTGGCAAACCTCAGTGTCATAGGCCTCTTACAATGGTGAACGATGGCTCAGGTATTTTTACTAAGGTTCCTTCCCCTGGCATGGGCCATGCTTATCCTGCTGAAAACTCTTAACACTGAGTTTTCAACTCCTATGTTAGCTGGAGGCCAGTGTAGGTGTTGATGCAGACAATGGAATGATAACACCCACTAATGTGCACCAGACAGGTTTAGGACAGGTGGAACAAAGACAGATAAATAGTGAAGGGCACACTTTCCTTCCACTCAGCATGAGATTCTCCTGCTTAGAAATGCACTGGTCTTCAGGCAGAGCCAGGGTCTGTGCATCAAAGCTGTTCCCCAGAGCCTTCCCCCTCAACTGCCTCTTTCTCATACTCACCACCCACCACCGTCAGCCCTATCACCTTCTCCTCACCAAGCCGTCTCCAGTTAGCAGTGGTCCCCCTTTTCTCTGGATTTTCCTAACAGGTCTCTAATACCTCTCACAATCAGCCCTAGAACCTAGTACTCCCAAATGTTTGTTCATCTCATGGTAGGATGTGAGCCTGAGTCTTTTCCAGTATGTGCCCCAGTGTGCCCAAGATGAAGTCTTACGTGGAGTAGGCACTTGATGAGTGTGGGTTGAGTTGATCCTTTGCATGTGGGCATGCAGAATGGAGTGTGGCTGCTCATTTTTTTTTTTTTTTTTGTCTTCTGTAAGTTCTAATTACCTGGCTAGAATGAAGCCTATTTGCTTTCCTTCTCTTATTTGGGAGTATGTGTGCTTTATTGTGTTTTTCTGACAGTTAACCTAGGAGTATAGTAAACTTTAATCATATAAAGTGCTTTGTCCCTCCTTAATGGAATCAGATCAGTATTTTTATTTCAGTGCTCTTAATTCATTAAAATTAAAATCCAGACATCCAGTTTGGGGTATGTTAGAATAGTAAGCTATTGTTCTATAATATTCAATTATAAGGAAAAACTAATTGAACTAATAAAAAATTTCTGAATACAAGTCTATTCATTTTTCATATACTACTTTCTTTGTTTTCTCCAAATTATGAAGAAATAGACATTTTTCATCCCCATTTGGCAGAAAGTAGCTTATTTAGTGCCTTTTCTCACTGGAGTACTCAGCTTCATAGTCATTTATTTTTGTCCTTAGTCAAGCTGTCTCTGAAAGAAAGTAAACTGTCTTTGGGGAGTAATTTTTCCTTGAATTTTAGTCCCCTATCGTATTTCTGAAAATATAGCTAATTCTATTACACATGAAGGAGACCTGGTGTGGTGCTGTGGGTTAATGCGCCAGACTGCAAAGCCATTTGAACTGCAAGGTCAGCAGTTCAAGCTCACCAGCTGCTCCTCGGAAACCTTATACAGGGTCGCTGTGGGTCGGAACCAACTCGTTGGCACTTCACAACAACAACATTACACATGAGCACTTAACAAGGCTTTGAAGATCTTTAAGGCCACTGACACTTGACACTGGGGACAGGATAGGTTAGAGCTGGTCAAGTCAATTCTGTACAATATTGAAAGGGGTCTTGCAGCCTGTGATTTTGATTCTGCTGCTACCCATGTTCTGGAAGCCTCTGAGCTGTCCTAAGGCTGACGATGTCTTTGCCCATCATATCACATGGCTCCCAGAGAACGTTTTCTACAGAGCTGGGTAAGACCGGGAGGCCAGCAGCTCAACTTCATGACCTAGTGTATGAAGTCCATTCACTGACTGCATTTTACCATTTTGTAACAAAGAAATGAGAATGCAGCATTCCAAGTTTGCACTAACTCAGTTATGAAGTGCCACCCTGAAAACTGAAGTAATATTGTTTCTACAAAGCACTTTCAGATCACTTCAAGCCTTCTGTTAGTTTTCTTCTTCACTCACTGCCATTTTAATAAACAGTCATTGGACTTGGAGTAACAGATTAGACTCACCTGTGTATAGGTAACCCATCGGCAGTTCTCAATTTTCTCTCTGCGTATCTCAAAATTAGTGGGAAAGACCCCATTTTCTACTCTCTCTCCTTGTCATTGAAAACACAAGTTCCTTTAATTGTGCTTTTCTTTTTCCTACCTCCTGTAACAGACAGTACACTGGAAAAAGAGAGATGTAGAGAGGTAATGAGGAGGAAGAAGAGGCTGCAACTCCTCTGGGACGTGAAATGCCAAGGGTAGACAAGACAGAGAATACAGCCAGCATATTCTTCTCGCCAGCTTCCGTGCTCTTTACTTTGATATTTCTTTGCCATTTGCCTCTGTATTTTCTTCTTTTCCAGGCCTGTGGGCAGCTTTATGTATCTTCCACAGGTGGAAGATTTATCAACAAGTATTTTAGCACTTACTAGCTACCTACCTAGCAAAAGAGCCCTGGTAATGTAGTGGGTTAAGTGTTGGGCTGTTAATCACAAGGTCAGCAGTTTAAATACACCAGCTGGTCTACAGGTAGAAGATGAGGCTTTCTGCTCCTGAAAAGATTTACAGTCTCAGAAACCCCATACAGGGTCACTATTAGTCGGAACTGACTAGCGGCAAACAGCAGCAGGTAATTAGCAAAAAGAGCCCTGATGGTGCAGTGGTTAAAGTACTTGACAGCCAACAAAAAGGTTGACAGTTCAAATCTACCCAGCCACTCCATGGAGGAGTGCAAATACCATTGCAGGAGTGCAAATACCATTGCAGCAATATTTCCATAAATATTATAGCCTGGAAAATTCTGTGGGTAGTTCTACTCTGTCACTTGGGATCGCAATGGGTCAAAATAGATTCAGTGGCATTTCCGGTTGCACAGTAGTTAAAGCACTTTGCTGCTAATCAAAAGGTAGGTGATTTGAACCCACCAACCACGCCATGGAGGATGTGTCAATAGATTTATTTTGAAGGTGTCTAGCAATATACCAAGAAAAACAGGAACTACACAGACAGTATATGTTTGAGCACCTTCCTTTGAGAAGGTTAGGGTGTTGAAGAACAAAAAGTTTCATATGTGAAACTAAAAAGAAAAAGAAAAATGTATCTGTCAAATACTAAGTGGCATAGTAATTGTGGGCAGTAAAGTAAAACTACTGAGTATATTGTAGTTTGGGGAGTTTCCATAGTAACTCAGAATAGTTTTAATAGTTACTGGCATTTCTTCCCTGCTTTTATCCACTAACCTCCACTCGCCTAACTGGGACCCTCACCTACCCTCCATCATGAACTCCAATGGGAGTCATGCTTTGAAGGCCATTTTAATAAATAGCAGCAACAGTTATTTTACCTAATTCTTTAGCTGTGTAGAATCATTTCAGCCTGCCAGTCATTCTGCTTTGATTTTTGTTTTTTTCTTTTCCATAGCTAGGAGATTTTTACAATGAAATTCTGCCACTTATAGGTAACTCTGGGTGCCTTTGGGCATGAAGAAGAGGTTATCTCTAATCCTTTGTCTCCAAGAGTGATTAAGAACATTATCTATTATAAGTGTAACACCCATGATGAGAGAGAAGCAGTCATCCAGCAGGAACTGGTCATCCATATTGGCTGGATCATCTCCAATAATCCTGAGTTGTTCAGTGGCATGCTGAAAATACGAATTGGGTGAGTAAAGTACTATTCATTTGCATAAAGAAAATTGTTCTGTTGTCATCTAACAGACTTGGTCATTCTTGAGTACAATGTGGCCCCAGATCAAGTGGATCCTTGGGAAAGTGTATCTCTCCCCTGGTGTGACACTGTGGGTTAATGCATTAAACTGCAAAGTTGGTTTCAACTGTAATGTCCGTGGTTCAAGCTCACCAGCCACTCCTTGGAAACCGTATACATCGTTGCTGTGGGCCAGAACTGACTCCACTGCACTTAACAACAACAATCTCTCCCCTTAGCCATTGAGTGGAAGCCTTAAATCTTCCTCCTGTCTATTTAACTCCCAAGTTAGAATGAAGTCATTCTGTTCACTAGCAAAATCAAACTCCTAAGCTTTAAACAGCTGCCTCATGTAAAACACTAATACTTGTCAATATTTCTCTAAATGAAATTGGATAACCCATAAGAGAAGAATGACTGTCAGTGAAAGTGGGTACCAGGAGGACATAATCAGATAAAAATTTGGTACATAATAATGAATATTCTGCATAAGTTTTTACCAAACTGTTAATTAATCATTGAAATTATGAGAGTTCTTTTTGGAGAAGAAATTAAAAATAAGGCGTTGGTGATCTTGAATTTTCTTAATCAAGAATTCTTTGAGGCAGTGTGGTTTAACCATTCTCTGGCATCCAACAGAATGAGTTCCAGTTGACGATCATTTATCAACTGGGCAAATTACTGAACCACTCTAGTCTCAATAGTGCCAACCTCATTGTTTATGTGAAAAACATTGACTTATATGTTTAAAATGCCTCCCACAACTTTAATAAAGTATAGATGGTTCTTCTGTTGTTGGTTTTTGTTTTGTTTTTAAATATCTGCACTGTCTTATGTGAATATCTTCTAATTGTAAAAGAGTCAAATAATATCTGAACATATAGAATAACATGGCCAATAACTGGAAGTGTTCGTGTTTGCAAAGAATATGTATTGTTTGTTGGGTACAAATGTATGAGTATAAATAAGCATATATGTAGCTTACTGACTGTGTAATTATATTTTAGTATCTTTACTCTTTCTGTTCTACTTAATCCATGATTACTGGTAAAAGTCCTTTAAAATCCTTATTATAATTGTAAATTTGCTACTCCACCTTGCATTTTTATCATTTTTGATACATATATTTTGAAACTTTGTTTTCTCCACATGATTTCGTTACATTTTTCAATATATCTTCCTTTTTGTCATTCATTGTTTTTCTCCTTAATTTTTGAACTTTTTTTTTGAAAACTGTGAACACAGAGACCATTGCTCAAGTCCGTTTCCACTCCTAGTGACACAATAGGACAGAAGAGACTTGCTCCATAGCTTTTTCCAAGGCTGTAAATCTTTACCGAAGCAGTCAGTGAGTTCCAACCACTAACCTTTCAGTTAGCAGCCTGGCACTTAACCCATTGTGCCACCAGGACTTTTTAGAAATGTGGAACGTCTATAAAATTATAGAAAATAGCATAATAAAGCCCATGAGCCCATAATGTCATCCAACTTCAATAATATTATCTTATCACCAATCTTACTTCACCCATACCTCAACCTACTACCTACTTCCATGTCTCCCTCTAGCTAATTTCAAGGCAAATCAATCATATCATAGAAATCATAACTATTTCAGTGTGTATCTCTAAGATACTGTTATTTAAGTATATACCTATAGTATCATTATCATGTATAATTAATCATTGAATTTAATTTGTTTAATTATCCTTTTGCCACACTTGTTTTTTTTTCTGTCATTATTAACCTATTATACCATCTTTCATCCATTTACACTATTTCTTTATTAAGTGATACTGTAAGACAGCAACAACAGCATATTTATTTTTAATCTAATGTGAGGTTCTCTCTTTTAATAGAAACATTCTATTTCATACTTAATATCATTTCTTTTATATTTTCACTTATTCCTGCTATCTTATTTTGTTTTCTTTCTGTCATGCTTTCTTGTTACTTTTCTCATTTCCTGTGTATTGTTGGGTTGATTTCTCTTACTTTTGACTTCTTAATGTTAACTTTGCACATAAACATGAAGCACTTTCTAAATAATTATGATTGCCCATTTATTCCTTCAAAAATTACATATAAAAAACTCTTAGCTTATTTGACAGTATCTGTTATATACAATTTACTTTTTTTTTTTTTTTTTCGGTAATTCTCAATATAGGAATTTGCTATACTCATATAAAGATGTTGTTGTTAAGTGCAGTTTAATCAGTTACAAAACATAGCGACCTTCTATAGGATTTCTAAGGAGCAGCTGGTAAGTTTGAACCACCAACCTTGTTGTAAGCAGTCCAATGCTTATCTTATAGTGCCACACCAGGACTCCTATACAAGTGTATAATTTACTTAAACTGTTTTTTTTTCTAATAAACATCTTAGTTGTTTCCAGTGTTTCACTATTTCACACAAATCTGCAATAAAGACTCTTATAAAACCTATCTTTATATACAGTATTAGTAATAGTTTAAATAATTACATATAGTGTAAGTATATAAAGATAGGTTTTACAGCAGTTTTTATTGGAGACTTGTGTGAAATAGTGAAACACTGGGAACAACCTAGATGTCCCTTAGTAGGAAATAGTTTAAGTAAATTATATTACAGCCGTGCAGAAAAATACTGTGTAGCTGTTACCAGGACCAAGATGAAATTCTCTGTATTGACACTTGTAACTCCAAGATAAATTAAGTGATAAGAGTTAAGATGAAATTTTTTGTTCCTTTTTATTTTTAATAAAAGAACAGTAATATTACTGTGCATATTTTACTGTATGTGTGAAAAGATACCTTAAAATATACATATATCAAATTAATTTCAGTTATTGTCTCTTGGCCACCAGTCATCTATCAATTTGTCATGCTTTGGTGCCTTCTGATGTTGTTGTGAGGCTGGCAGCTGTGCCAGTGGTATTTTAAATACCAACAGAGCCAACCATGATGGGCATGTTTCAGCAGTGTCTAGACTAAGACAGGCATGAAAGAAGGAAAGGTGAACATTTCTGAAAATCTTATGAATAGCAAGTGCCAGAAGATGAGCCCATCAAGGCACTCAAAGTATGCATGGGGAGGAGCTGCCTCTTCAAGGTAGAGTTGACCTTAGTGATGTGGATGAAACAAAGCTTTCAGGACCTGCATGATGATAGATATCTGAGGCCATTTTGAACCTGATAGTCATATTGCTTGCTATGCTAGTAAAGACACATTGAAGAGGACTAACATTCATCATCAAAAAGAATATCTCAAAATCTGTCTGATAGGGTAATCATTTACCTATAAGGAAGATCCGTTAATACCACTATTATTCAACTTTATGCATCAATGACTAAAGCTAATGATGATGAAATTGAAAAATTCTACCACCTTCTTCAATCTGAAATTGATCAAACATGTAAAGATGAATTGTTAATTACAGTTGATTGGAATGTGAAAGTTGGATAAAAAGAGGAAGGATTAGAATTTTGGAAGGCCAATGATTTATTCACTGTAAGTACTTGTTTTTAACAACATAAAAGGTAACTGTACATGTGGAACTCAACAGATGGAATACACAGAAGTCAAATTGACTGCATCTGAGGATAGAAACAATGGAGAAGTTCAATATCATCATCAGCTAAAATAAGGCCAGGGGCCAACTGTGCAACAGACCACCAATTGCTTGTATGCAAGTTCAAACTGAAGCAGAAGAAAAGTAAACCAAGTCCATGAGAGCCAAACCTTGAAAATATTCCACCTGAATTTAAAGACTATCTCAAAAACAGGTTTGACACATTACACACTAATGTACCCAAAGAGTTGTGAGATGACATTATACAGGAAGAAAGCAAAAGGTCGTTAAAAAGATAGGAAAGAAAAGACAAAACTGGATGTCAGGACAGACTCTGAAACTTGCTCTTGAGAGTAGAGACACTAAAGGGAATAGAAGAAATGAAGTAAAAGAGCTAAACAGAAAATTTCAAAGGGCAACTCAACAAGACAGAGTCAAGTATTCTAAGGAAATGTGCAAAGACCTGGATTACAAAATCCAAAAGAGAAAAAACACACTCAACATGTCTCAAGCTGAAAGAACTGAAAAAAAAAAAAATTTCAAGCCTTGGGTTGTAATATTGAAGGATTCTATAGGCAAAATATTGAGTGATGCTGGGAACATCAAAAAAAGATGGCAAAACAACAATGAGATATCATCTGACACTAACAATAACAGCAAAGATAAAAAATGTTGAGGACAATAAATGCTGGCGGGGATGCGGAGAGACTGGGACACTCCTGCATTGCTGGTGGTACTGCAAAATGGTACTGCAAACGGAAAGCAATATGGTGCTTCCTCAGAAGGTTGAAAATAGAAATCCCATTCGATCCAGCAATTCCTCTACTTGGTATTTACCCACAAGAAAAACGAGCCACA